TCTGCAAGGTGCGAAATTCAAAAGGCAACCTGGCTTGTGATAGGATAACAAAGACCGCTTCTCCCAAGGAAGGATCTTCTGTTGCCTGCCCTATAAATACCCCAGCACTTCCTCTTCTCTCTCTCTCTCTCTCTCTCTCTCTGCTTTCCTGCCTCCCGCTCCCCTCCCTACAATAAAGATCTCCTGCTGGACCTCTCGGTGCATGAGTGGCATAATTGGGTAAGGGGCACCCAAAGGGGGCTCGAGACCTCTTTCAGAACTCAGGACCTTGCGCATGTGAGGTAGGCAGCAGAACCACTGAGCTAAATCCCCAGCCTCTTCTGCATACTTATTTTAAAGGGGTAGTTTAAACTCTTTATTTCAGCATCAGGGACCCTCAGACCTAGCCCATGACAATTTCTTGGAGAATATTTTTAAAGGCAAAATCATGAGGTGGGTACAATGTAGGTCAAACTATAATCAACAAATAAGATTACAAGTATAGCTGCTTATCTAAGATTGATCCAATACGGAAGTGGAGCATGTAGCAAGGGCATAGGATGATATCATTAACCTTGACTTATCTATGACTTGTAAAACAGGCACATTTGGGGAAAGGGATGGACCCAAGTGTTCTGGTCACCCACCCAGGTGTCTGACATATACCTGGACTGAATGGACTGGGTGGTACTGATTATAGTATAATTTCAAATTTCCAATCATCCCTTAGGGAAGTCTGTGATTTTAATCTTTTTTTTGGGGGGGGGGTATCGGGGATCAAACTCAGGACCTTGTGATTGTGAGGCACAGGCAGGCACTGGGGCCACTGAGCTAAATTCTGGCCTTGCGATTTTAATCTTGAAGGCTTGCCTTCTTTCAGATGCGCCTCAGCCACGAATCTGAAGTCTCCACTTTCACTGACTTCCTTGAGCCCCTTGTCTTTTTTTTTTTTTTTTTTTTTTTTTTTTTTTTGTTACCAGGGACTGAACTCAGGACCTTGTGCTTGCAAGGCAGGCTCAGTGCCACTGAGCCAGATCCCCAGCCCCTGACTGTATTACTCTTTATATTATTTTTTTCTGCCTATAATACTATTGACTGCTGTTCTCACAGCCACAAGTATCCTGTAAAGAGATGCCCCTCATGGATGGTGATGGGATTAGGCAGGAGGTTTGCTGTGACCTACTTCTGGATCTATTCTCTTTTCAAGCATATTTCATAGTAAGGAGAAAAGAGCCCATTAAAAAGATAGGAAGCTTCTGCAGGGTTATTTCAAATCTTTTGCTTTTTTTTTTTTTTTTTTTTTTAAAGAGACAGGGTCTTGCTTTGTAGTGTAGGCTGGCCTTGAATTCCTGGGCTGGCCTTGGATTTAGGGCAATCCTACTGCCTCAGCCTCCTGAGTGCTGGGATTATGGGCATGTGTCACCACACCTGTCTCCTTTTTAAAATGGCAGGGGTTTAGGGGTGGGTAGCAAGCCATTGCTGTGTTGAAAGGTGCAGCTCCTGGTGATCCTAAACCCAGCATCAGTAAAGAATTAAAGAAGCAGAGTTTAAAATAAAAGATGATTTATTTGAAGGTGGGGGAAGGGGAAAGAGAGATGCCAGACAGCTACTCTGGAGGAGTGGGGAGCATTCTAAAGCGAATACCTCTGAAGTTTTAGCTCTAGCTCCTTTTATTAGGATCCTTCTCCCCTTGAATCAGATTGGCTCCTGGTTGTCTTTGATCCTAACCTTGGATTCCTTCTGGCTTTAAGACTTTTTCCCTGCCTTTTAGTGGTGGATAAGAGTGGAGGGGGGTTTATGGAAAGATAGTTTAGGTTTAAGGATTAAGTAAAGGGGAAGTGTACGATTCTTATGTTAATTGTGCTGCCTGGGTTCTTCACTGGCCTGGTTTCTTTTTCTTTCCTTGGCTTTGACTGCTTGATTCTAGCTGCAGAGGTATCAGCTGCCTTTAGAAGGATTCTCTATTAATTTTTAATAAAGCTCAATGAGACCTTCATCCTACCTTTTCCCTACCTATGGGGCCCTCTGTCCCTACAGCAGATTTATGTTTAATTGTGACTTTATCTTCTAGCTATGCGTGGGATCAACAAGCAGATAGGGACCAAGAACCATAAAAAGCTGTCCCAAGGAAAAAGAAAGGCCAGGTAAACATCTCAGTCAACATAAGTGAAACATAAGCATGATTCAAAAGAGCAACTTCCTGAGTACTCAGGCGTGAAGAGGGCTGCTGGCAGACCATGAAGGACAACAGGTGGACGTCGTATCTGGTTTTCTAATGGGATTTCATGGTGAAATAAGTTGGTAGTTCCTGGATGGCAAAGTGGCCTTGGAAATGCTGTCTCCCCTGGTGTTTTAGGGATGGGGGGAGGGGGTGGCCACAGGTAGGGGAAAAAATAGGCTAAAAACATCAAGCTTTATTAAAAATTAATAAGGCAGCTTTGACCTCTGCAGCCAGACTCCATTAATTAGAAAGGCAATGATAGTGAGACTCAGCAGTTAGAAAGACAAAGGCAGGGCTGGGAATACAGCTCAGTGGCATGTGCCTGCCCAGCTAGTGCAAGGCTCTGAGTTTAATGCCCAGCACCAAAAGAAAGAAAGAAAGGCAAAGAATGAGGAAGAAACTCAAACTCAGGTCTGGGAGGTTCCCAGGTAGCTCAGGTAGCTCGAGTAACATAACATAAGAATCACAAACTTCCCCTTTACTTAATCCTTAAATTTAAACTACCTGTGCATAATGCTCCCATCTATAATTTTACCCTCCACCAAAGGACAAGGGCAAGTTCTGGCCAGAAGAAATTCAAGAACTCAACTACATAGTGAAACCCTGTGTCAAACAAACAAACAAACACCAAGATAATATGCAAAGATACAAGATTCCAATGATAAATGTAACTGTATTGTTTGCTTTAAATGTACCAATAAACTTAATGGAAACAAACAAGCAGGGAAACAAAAACACCCAGAAGAAATCCAAGATTAGGATGAAAGACAAGCCAGGGAGCCAATTAGATTCCAGGAGCCTATGTGAGCTAAGGATCTCAACAAGAGGAGCTGTAGACAAGAAATCCTGAGCATTCACTTTCGAATTCTCCCTACTCATCCAGAGTAGCTGTCTGTCATCTTTCTTTTCCTCCTCCTTCCCCATCTTCAAATACATTGTCTCTTTTTATTTTAAACTGCTCTTTAGTTCTTTACTGATGCTGGGTTTAGGATCACTGGCAGCTGTGATCCAGAACAATGGCTTGCAGTCCACCTCTGGACAAGTTACAGCATGGAATAGTGTGGCCTGGGGTACAACTCTCTAGACATTATAGTGTCCTTCTGTGTGGCTTTTAGAGCTGATACTGGCGGCATGGCCTGGCATGACATATTCCTGCTTGGAGTTCAGAGGTACTTACTTGCTTACTATCAGTCACTGCCCCGGACAGAGGCCAAGAATCCATGTTCCAGAATTCATTTGGAAGCATTTATTAGAACCATATGGCCCTGGTTTGTGTGTCCTCCTGACAGGAGGCCTGTGCCACCTTCCTCCTCTTCTTCCTTAGGGGTCTGAGATGGCCACAGTCCATGGGTGTTACCCATTCACAATGTGTTCTCTGTTCTGGGTCAGGTCCCAAGGCCCTGTGGAGGTCCTAGAGTCAAGATAAAGGCAGCCCTTAGGGGGCAAACAGGTTCCTCTGCTGGGCCATGCCCCACAGCCCAAGAGCAGAGCATGAGAGAGACAATGTCAAAGGTAGCATCTGGCAGGAGGGCATCTGTGTGTACCCTTGGCCAGAATAGCCAAAACTGTGGGAAATAAAAGGCATCAGAGGGCAAAGAAAGAGAACTCTGAACAGAAGAAAAAGAGAGGGTTTTCTCTTATCACAACCCTCCCAGCACTTGGACTGCAGCCATCCTGGTACAAAGCATTATCTTTGTGGGTTTGATTGCCTTACCCTAAAGCCTGATGACACAGAACATCTTTTATGGAATTATTGGCCATTTAGATATTGTCTTGGAAGAAGAGCTTGCTCAGCTCTTTTGCATTGTTCATTGCTGGTGTAAAGAAACAAAACCGATGTTCATGTATTGCTTTTTGTTTTGTTTTGTTTTTGGTACCGGGGATTGAACTTGGGTCCTTGTGCTTGCAAGGCAGCCACCGAACCAAAGAGCTAAATCCCCAGCCCTAATGTATTGCTCTTTTACCTTGTAATTGTGGCTGGATTTGTTTTTTTTTTGTGCATTCTCTGGGATTTCCTAAACAAAGGACTATGCCATCTACAGATAGAGGCAACCTAGGTCTTCATAACTCACCTGGATCCTTTTTATTTTTCTTTTGGTGGTACTGGGGGTTGAACTCAGGACCTTGCGCTTGCAAGGCAGGTGTGGTGTCACTCAGTTAAATCCCCTGCCCAATCTGGGTCCTTTTCTTTCTTTTGCTTGCCCACCTTCTTGAGTTAGGACCTTGGTATAGTATTGAGCCGCAGTGGTGAGAATGACATCCTGATCACGTTCCTGACCTCAGGCGAAGCATCTAGTCCTTCACTTGGCTGTAGGGCTTACATGGAAGTCATGTTATTGGATGGAGGAAGGCACTTCCCTTCCTAGATTGTGGTTTTATGTGTTCTTTTGTTGTTTATCATACGAGCACATAGGGTTTTATCAGATGTATTTCCTGTGTCTGGAGAATTAAGAGGATTTCATCTGCCATGCCTCTTGCAAAACCTGAGGAGCCTGAAGTGGAGACACAGGAGCCTCAGTCTTGGGGTGAGGCAGTGATGGGCCTGTGGTGGGATGTCTTCCTACTTCGTAAAAAGGACTGTGAGAAACAATACACGCAGCTTTTCAGCAGTATCTGGCAGAGGTAGTTGTCAGTGTCTGCTGTGTCTGTGCAGCAGATGTGCTGTCCATTCTGAGATGACAGGGACAGCTACAGGGCTGCATGGGTCCTGGAGCCAGCAAGGGCAGCTCCGTTCAGCCAAGCATCTGCTTTTGTGCCTCCAGCCACTAGATGTCAGTGCAAACCAAATAAACTGATGGAGGTCTGAGGGGCCTGACAGGTTTTGCTGACCCTTCCTGGTCTCCACTGTGTTCCTGCTAGTGTGTGAGTTCATCTACTTTCTGCTGGCTTTGTATCATCAGCTTACAGTCAAATATCAAGGCTGTGCAGCTCTGGGAGGTGGGTCGGTACAGCTGGCTGCTGGTGTAGAGGTCTGGCAGCTTGGCCATGCTGCCCAGGAGGACGCCAGGCCAGCATGGTCATCTTGAGACCTCGAATGGGAAAGGAGGCTCCAGTTGTACCCGGTCTTTGGTCCTTGGCACGAGGGGCTGGTCAGAGAAGATGGTTTTGTAGGATTTCCATTGAATCTGTCCTGTCACCCCCGGGGGCTGAATTGGGCTAGTCAGCTGGCATCCGCCGGTTTTGTGTCCTGTAAGCTCTGGCACTGGTATGTTTTGCTACTTAGGTAGCCTGAATTATGTAACGAGTTAGGGCCCTCCGAACAGGTGTCATCCTCTTCCCACTGCCAGGTGCAGTTACTGCCCTGAATAGGTGCTGGGATAGAGGGGCAGGGCTAGCGCCTTCCGCTTCCCGGCCCTGGGTCGGGACTCTGGGGGTGGGTGGCCTGGGTGGG